CTGCCTGCCCGGCCGGCGCTTCCTCGGAGCAAGCCGGGGGGGCTGTGAAACCGACCCCAAACCGCGTCCGGTGCCGGGGGTTTCCCCGAGCGGAGCTCCCCTCCCGCCGGCACTGCCTCCTCCGGAGACAGATCAGCTTGGGGGTAAAGCAGGCCCGGGCCTTTGGCGCCCGTGCTGGCAGGATTGTTCTGGAACTCGGGTTCCCACCTTGTGCTTCTTGTCCTAAGCTTCCTCGTGTCCCATTTATAACCACTTACCTCCCTGCCAAATAAATTTAACTTTTCATTTAATACAGATTTATGGGTCTAATATAGTTCTACTTAAACTAGCTTCTCTTTTAATACAGCCTTACAGCTTTAACCTAGTTTGGTTTAAAGCAAAGCTTACCTTGTGCTTAATACAGGTTTCCCGTCACGCTCGCTCTTCTTCCTAACAGGCTGGGTCACAGTCCTGCTTTCTGCCTTTGTTTTGCTCCACAGAGCACGCAAAGGGTGTTTAATCAGGAAGGGGCTGATCGTAACGTGCTTTTTAAAATTCCTGGAATTCCGCCAAATGAAGACCAAGCCACTTCTGATTCAGGTTTGAGACATGTGTTGGCCAACCCATCAGGTGGCTTCATGCTGGTAATTATGTAGGGGGAAAAAAGTGACACATAAGTATCTGCCGGCTTTTGTAAATTCCAAGGAACTGAAGGGAAGTTTCTATTTTGTCAAACTTTTCAGCTTGGCCTTGGAAATCTAGCCCCAAGTAGGCAAAAGACATACTCTCTCTTCCTTCTGCCCAAAGTGTACACAGTTCTTTTGAGAAATCTGCTTTTTTGTTGTTGTTGTTTCTGGTATCTGAGTAATAGAGACTATTTTATGTATTTGTATAGAAAATTTTAATAATAAAAAAAGAGATGTGATCTTATCTTTTGCTTACAGGAAACCACGTGATTCCTGTGTCTGAGACGCTCAGAAAAGCGCCGTGTACTCAGCAAGTTTGGAAATACTCGTTTGCCTGCTCACTTGCTGTCCACAGGCATTTACACTGTTGCAAAGATGCCAAGAGAAAATGGTACTTTTTCCGGAGTGTGTTTTGGACGGGGTTTTTTTTCTTTCCTTATTTTGAGTGCTGTGTACGAGGATGCAGGCTAAGGCAGGTGGCAAATTGTCGTCGCTTCCCTCAAGTAATACCTATAAAATTAAGCAGGAGGACCCCTCTGGCTCTCTGGGGGGATGATGCCAGCTGCGATGCCGTTGAGCAGCCGCATGCCAGCACTGTTGCTTTCACCTGTTGCCACCTGTAGGATCCTTTTCTCTGGTAACAGCTCCCTTGCTGCTGATGCTTAGGATTTAAAGGAGGAAGATGCACTAAGGCCCTCCTTGAATTCTTAAAGGGAATCTCCTCCAAGAATGCTTTTCCCGGAGACATGTGTGGCCCAGGCAGCATCCTTACAGGATTCGGTTTGCATTCTACTATATAGCAAGACTTAAAACACACTGCAGTTGCTGATGTAGGCAGCTATCACAGCACTCATGGTGAAGACTTCTCAAAAACTGTTAGGTTTTTCACCTGCTCTTTGCTCTCAGTGTTTGGCACGACTTCCCCCTAATTATTTTTCCTGACAAGTTACATTCATTGTCTTTAACCAGGCTGAGTAGCTGTTTAACATTATATATACATATATATCTGCTGCTGCCAAAAAGAGGCTCCATCAGGTCTTGGCTTTGCATGTTACTTGATGAACCCATTGACATCCCATGCTCCCCCTCAGAGCCGAGGGCATGTTCACGCTCCCTCTGCAGCAACTGCCCTGCTATTGTGTACCCAAGCGCTGCACCCGAATATGTGAGGAGGGGTCACAGCTCCGTGCCAAGGGGAACAACATAGGGTGGGTGAAGCAGCCTCGAGGGAACGAAACGCCACGTGCAGAAAGAGACGGAGGCTCCTGAAGGGTACTTTCATTATCGATGGAAACTGAAAGCAGCAGCTGCCACCATGCTGGGCCCCTGCGGCGGGATCTCTTTGTTAAGAGGGCCTTTTTCTGGTGCTGCTCCTTAGGCACACGTGGCTGATCTGTGCAGGGAGTGTGACCCCGCTGATCTCGGAGGGCTCTCCACCCAGGGCCAGCGTAGCTCTTTGCCACAGCAAGCCATACAGGAAGGCGTCTCTAGGAGAGCGGTTGTTCTGGCCGTAGTTTATAAAATAGCAGAACTTCTGGGTCCCTAATTGAGATCAGGGGCTAACCAGTTTGCAGTGTAAGCCACGAATGCGAGCCAAGCTCCTGTGTCCAGGAGTCCAGCGCTCGCTTTCCATATATTTATTTCTCTTTTGAGAAATCCTTGTGGACTGGCCTTTTGACGCCAGAGAGATCCCGCCCGGGTAACCGCAGCTTTCTCCCACTACTATTTAAAAGCAGGAGACCAAGAGGACAGGGAGAAGTATTTGGTTTGAAACGTCCCCAGAGAACTGCCGGCCTACAGAGCTGCACAAACAAAGGGGCGAGCTGTGTCACTCCAGCCACCCAAGGCGCAGCCTGCCGTCCCCAGCCTCCCTGCGCTGCACGAGAGGAAATCTGAGGCCCGTCATCCCCCCTGTTGCCGTAATAGGTCTGCTTTAACCCAACCACCTTACAAACACCAGGGTTTATCCTTTGTTTTGAAAATGGTTGGGTGGGCAGGAAAGTAAGACTCATTGTGCGGGATTTCCCCGGCTGGGATTTTCCACAGCATCCTGTGTGTATTCTCCCTGTTGAAAAAAAGGCACAAAGTCTTATGATTTCCCTCGCAGTCTACTTAATGACAGTAATGCTGCTGACTGGATGTCATTTCTCTGGGCTTCAAGCTCCTGACACTTACTGAACCCCACACTCACCACTTAGGCTGAACGTCTGCCCTTTTCAAACAGGGGGATACCCAGACGAGATGCCTGTTCTTGACACACGAGCTGGTGAGGTTGAACCTCTGAGTCCTTCCAGCCTGTGCAAGCGGCACAGCCCCGGAGCTGCACATCGCTTAGCTAACCTTCCCGAGCTGGCACAGTGCAGAGGAGACGTGGGCGTGGTGCGGTGGAGGCTTAAAACACCACAGAAAACTAGCGCAGAGGCGATGATGTCATTCACTCCTTATTTTACTAAACACTGCTGTACCAGCATCAGATATTCATGCCAGTACTGCAGGCCAAGGAAGTGAGCTACAGCTACAGAAATGAAATCCTAGTTTCTACAATTCAGTTTCCATTAAGTTCACCTCTTCTTGGCTATTTATTATAATTTCTCTTCACAGAGAATCTGAAGAAACAATGTGAAACGCAGAGAAAAGAGGACCGTGTATTGGGGCTGCATCAAGACGGGTTTGTTGGTATCTCAGACAACTGTGATGGGCTCCGAGTGTTCCAGCAAAAGAGAAATTGGAAGTCAGGCCCTTTAACACCTAGCTTTTTATCTCCTCTCAAGATCACCTTCCCTCTTTAATCATCGACCGTGTGAGTGAACGCAAGGGAAACAAACGGTAACTCCACCAACAAAAAGAAAAAATAATTAATGACTTTATTTTTTTTTTTTTTTTAGTTCAGTTGGCCATCTGAGGTGCTAAAATCTCAACACCAACGAAGCAAGTGTGCATAAAAACAAACGATAAAACACAACCAAACAGAAGAAAACAGGCTGGAACAGAGTTGGGGTTTTTTTTACAGGTAGGGTATACGCTTTTCTGTTAATATTCCATACATGCCAACCGTAAAAGCCTTGAACAATCTGAATATCAGAGTTTGCTTTCATACAAAAGGGAAGATGCCAAAGCAGATCCCTTCACCTGGATTAGACTTCACACACACACGCATGCACGCACAGACACAGAGCATTTAAATTACTGCAATGCCATCAGAAGATGGCATCCTCCCCTTCACATCTGCTTTCAGTGACATCCTCCTCTGCCTGGCTACCCTGCCTATAGCAGTACTCTGAGCAACCCAAAAGCGGGAACTTCTGGAAAGCTTCTAATCTCTGTTATTTTGCAACGGTCAAGAGCCAGCCATCTCTTTCGCTGTGAACTATATACAGGCTGGTTTTTAGTACGCTTTAGAGTTCTCTTTATTGCAGACAAGTGACGACTGAAATTCCCATAAAGCCATACTGTGGCTTTTCAGTTTGTACACAGGAGATTTTATAATGCAACACCTTTCTCATCCACTGGTGTCTGGTGTAAACGCTTAACTGAAAAGTCATTTTAAAAGAATGTTAACCAAACAAGGTGTAGCTGTGAGCGTTTTAGGAACAGCTGCTAAGAAAATGGAACTGCCGGCTGCTCTAGATCATGCAGTCTAGACCACTTATAATACTTCATAATGTTCAGGATTAGGATGTATAAAAATATTAAAAACCACCAGAGTGCACACAAATGTGGTGACTAGCTCTATGCAAGCACCGTGTTCTAAGAGAGGCCTAGGCATTGCACAAAACTCAGATTCTTGACCATGGGGGTAACCCAAGGATCCACTGGTGTCTTTACATACGAACAAATATTTACATCAAATGCAGAGACGGATAGAGAGAAGGACAGACTTTTAAAACTTGCGGTTTGCTCTAAAATGTGTTCAGCAACACAGTTTGTAACATGCCCTAGCGAGACCATGGGGTGTTGGTTAACTGAAAGAAAAAACGTGTCTGGAAGTTGGAGCTGAAATGTCACCTCCCCACGCATAGTTCTTTGAAGCTCAGGATTTTACTGGTGAGTTTTAATGAAAACATGATTAAAAGGAACAGAACAGTTTAAAAAAAAAAATTGTACTGTGAAAACAGCAGATCAGTTGTTTCAGCAGTCCTCGCTCCCCCATCCCCATTTGCCTCCTGAGGTGGTATCCCCCTCCCTTCCCCGCAGGGGACTGAAGCGCTTGCCCCATCCTCAGCGTGCCCTTTTCAAAACGGACACAGGTAGGTTCCAGGCTCTGCTCTCCCCCTACCTACTGTGGGGAAGAAAGGGCCAGCCCCGGTACGGATCGTGTCACGTGGGGATGGATGCCCTTGCGTGCCCACTTCTGGGAAGCTGAGGGCCTTTTCGCTCCCCGCACATGCAAAATGGACACACGTCATTGAATGCACACGGCTGAGTCACGTGCTGCTGCCCACGTGGGCAGCACAAAGAGCTAGAACATCCTACTTGGATTCTGATACAAATAAGGGATCTTGTGGTTACAAGAGCCTTCTGCAGCTTTAAAAATATAAAATTTGAATAAAAATATTCAGATAGTAAAAAAACCCAGTATCTGATATGCAAGTCATATTCTTAAAGTGCAACTGAACAGCAAATACAAGTTGTGCCTTTTCCAACCATTTTGATATAAAAAAGGCCTTTTAACGTTCCCTTTCATGTATTTTTCATTAATTTGTGTGTACGATGTTAGCTCTTCATTCTCACTGCTGGAGGACTTCAGCATAACCTAGAGTTCAGTTTTGGAACATGTGGTTTTCCCCTGCAATGGGGCATTAGGCCCTCAAGCAGTATCACTCTTCGGCATTGCAAAGATCTGGCTAGCGTCCCCAGCGTGAAAGGGACAAGTAGTAAACTGGTGTTTCTTCTTCAGGATTTTTTTCTCTTCTTACAGCTCACATTCAATCGTCTTTTAAAAATTAGATGTGGTCCTCATACCTGGTGCACTATAAAATGGACTGAGGCCAATTCTCTGCACAAGACAATAAACTACGTTTCCGGCTTCCCTCTTTCTTCCCTCCTCCTCTCCAGCTTCCGCTGGCCCCTCAGATGCAGACTATGTAAACTACCGCTGCCAGTTCGACTTGTGCAGCTGGCCCCTGCACTGGCATACGGGGGTAACTCTGCTTGTTGGACACCCTGTTGGTACGCCAACACGCCGTGATGCTGGTGTAGCAGGTACCGCTCGCTAACATGCAATTACTAAGTGGCACTGCAGCCACCTGTCTGCTTGGTTTCATGAACGTCTGGATTGAATTTGTAAGGCCTTAGCAGTAAACACCACGGGGGATAAAGGGAGAACGCTTGAGGCAGAAAAAACATGTTTCCACAATTAACAACCAGCACCGCTCAGGGTTGCTGGAGTCAGTCCCACCCATTGTTCCTCAGCCCGATGTATGCTCCCGAGTCAGAGGTGAATTTGGATCGTGGACCCTGGCTTACACAGAAGACCTCTTTGAAGGAGGTAGAGCGCCAACAGCAAGAAACCACATTAACTTCTGTCCTGGGGCAAAAGATTAAAGGATGTTCAGCCCTGTTTGGGGGCACCTTGCACCTACATCCTAAATTCAAGCTGAAAGGGTCAGTACGCTGTGTGAATATGCTTGGGAACGGGACACTTTCTCAACGACATCAGGGAGCCGGCTTAGTACATCTTTAACAAGAAAAGAACACAGTCAGCATCCCAAGGGGAGAAAAACTCTTAATACCTCTCGTTAAGGATGGGACGCATACCCGACGCACAGTGCTATTTCAGCTCTGCGGGACAGGTTAAGGATGTAGTGTGCTCTGGGAATCTGTCAAACAGTGACTGGTGCTGAATTGCTCGGTGCATGTCCTGCTCGTTGCTTAACGGATGACTACCACGAGTACCCTCCTGGCTGAAAAGCAGCAGCTTCGCTGGCTGAGACATAAGGAGCTTCTTCCAACAGATGCGGCAGGAAATGTGCTATTTTTGTTTTCACGAAGTCCCTCTAAGCTGTATCTCAGGAGTGTGAGGGTCCCCTCTTTCAGTGAGAGAGAGACATAAGGGATACTTCTACCTCACAGTTTTGGCTTTCTTGTTATAAAAATGTAAAATGTAAATAAATTACAGGTTTATTAGTCCAACAGAGGGAATCTGCGATGCAGAAGAAAAGTATGCTAGGAACACAAATAGATGCTTACAACTCCATGAGCGCGCAGGATTTTGTCCTAAAGGAAAACTTCTAGGGCAGGATGCATCCGTGGGTCCAAAAAGGCTGCCCTTGCTGTGAAGCAGGGACCAATCCGCAGCAGTGTCTTTCTCTAATAGAGTTAAAACACCCCCTCCACAATCAAGTAAGTGTAACAATCAAATTATTAATAAGAACACTAATAAATAGCCACAGGTAACAACGTCCAGTAATTTAGAAGTGGAAGTTGTAGGATGTAGCAGGCACACACACCCATCACTCATCCATTTTTTTCCTAAAAGATACAAAAATGAATCTTCTTTCAAGTATTAAAAAAATAAGTTAATTGACATAAAAGGGTCAAAGTGACTGAGGGCCCAGGCAGGTCTTAAGCTTCGTTTTCCAATGTGCAAAAACAAAATACAGAGAAAAAAAATAAAAACACTGAAAAGTCTTAATGGTGGGTCAGTCACTTAAGGGCCTCTCCCTTAAAAGGGGCCTAACAGCCAAGGAATGCTGCCTGGTAACACCCCTTCCTCAGCACACACTCACCGCTGCCCCACAGTCAGTATTTTCCAGTGTCAAAACAGTGACAACAAAAACAGAACAAAGAAGCCCACCAGCCTCTGAGCTGTGGCCGTGAAGACTAAGGCCAGCAGTAGCTGTCTCTCCAGTGTATAGCAAAGCAGAAGGGCATCTTCTCTCTCTCTTCTTCTCCCCTTTTTTCCCCGCAAGAAGGTTTAGGAGGCTATGACAAGGAGAGAGTCCACTGATGCCCACATCTCTCTAAGAACCAGGAGGCAGAGAGTTCCATCACACATACTAGTAGTATCTTCTCTGTCTCATATGTCTTCATATCCATGCATAACGATCAACTGCAGGTTTCTTTGGTGGGGAGGAAGACTAAAGCAAAGAAGGTGTTGCCCTGGGCTTCTGGAGCTCTCTCGGACAGCTGACTCCACCATACAGGCTGCTACAGGCTGCTGTGGTTTTCCAGGGAGGGTTGCCACTTCCCTCCCTGTTATTAGAACTGGTGTAGTAAAAACGGGAAAGGAATGGACTGCCATAAATCTAGTTTTGTTAAGGGTACTTCTTCCCTTAACCTCCTTCCCCACACATGGATTATTCCTCTCCTTCCTACCACACACACAAAAATAGGGTCCATTGTATAGGACCTCAAGGAGACTCCACAGTCTCATTATCTTCAACTTGGCTTGCAGACATGTAAAACTTAAGCTTCTGGAACCAACACGCTTATCAAAAGGCTTCTGAGTGCTTCAAACCAAATCCCTGCATGCTGTCGGACCCTTCGGAGGTTTCCCCTTCAACATCTTCCTATCCATGTAATTCTGGCGAACTCAGGGTAGGCCAACTGGACAACACAGACCAGCAGAGGTAAATGTGTTAAGCTCAGGACCAGTTCAAGCTAAAACCTTTGGAAAGCATGACTGCCTCCAGGTCCTTGTCTTCTTCTTTTTCTCGAAGCCGTTGCTCCTCAAGGAGAGCCACGAGAGAATCTCTCTGCTCCACTACTTCTAGCATCTCATTGAGGATCCTCTTCTCCTCTGAGAGCTCCTCATCCGTCTTCAGATGATCTGCAGAGATACCAAAACCTATCAGCACACACAAGGCTAGAAATACGCACACACGGTCTATGAAAATTTCCCTTTTGCTCTCACCTTCTACTGCCATCCTCTCCCGGAGTTCCTGCTGTAATCGACTCTGCCGGTCTTCCAGTTCTAGCTCCCGAGCGCTGAAAAGGAAACATCAAGAATCCAAGTTCCGGGTATATGAAAACACTCCATACATTGCTTCATGTCCATTCTCAATTTCTGCTCCCCCTCTAGATATCTGCTATGCATTTTTGGAACAACTCTTAAAACACCTAAGATATATAACTATATTTTTAAAGATTTAGATGTACTTTCAGCATCACAGGTTCTTTACCTTCACCTAGGAAGTGCCATACTGAAAGCTGAGTGGATTATGGGTGGGATTAAATCTAAAATGGTGTGAAGGAACAAACAATTCTGCTATCGCTGCAAAATTATACTTTACCTCTATGTATTTCCTGCCAATTCTCACTCTAAAGACAGAATCACTTAGCAACCAAGGACATGTCAGGCCATTGCCTTTCCAGACCCCAATGCAGACAACACCTTAGGGCTTTTCTGACACAGGCACCACGACGATCAGCTTCCACACTGCCTGGGTCAGCTGACATACTCAGAAACAGATTTCAGTGAATTTGCAGCATGGGGACTGAGGAAGTTCCCAATCTCATAAGCAGGAAAAAAGCCTTATCAAATGAGCCCAAAGGAGAGGCACTGGGGTCCCGCTACAGGCAGAGGGGCCACATGGCAAAGGTGACTGAATTAACACTTTTGGCTACTCTACCAAAACTAGAAGGAGTCACACGTTATTTCTGCGTAGCTCGAAAACACTTGCGTGATCAAGATGTGTTTTATCCAAGAACAGCTTGGGAAGGGCTTAGAGCTTTAAACACTCATCTGTACTTCTGCATGTGCACAAATAGTTGGAACTTTCATTCCTTATTGCTATTATTCCTTCCTACCACTCTTCTGAAATGTACTTGGATTCATATCTCAGCCATGAATCGGGCTGCTGACCTCCCGGCATTTTAGGGAAGACAGTACTGACAGATCTTCCAATACTATTTGTATCTGAAGCTTTGCGCATTCACTCACAATATCATCAGTTCCGACTCGTAGCGAACCAAGGCATTCTTCTCCTGCACCAGCTTGAACCACTCCTGCATCAGCTTGGGATCATCCTTCTTACCCATACCTGCCAAAAAAGAAACCTGGTAAGTTTTCAGGTAACGCCCTGCAATCCTTACAAGCCCAAACTGCAAAAACAACAATGGGGCAAAATGTGCAAAGAAAGCCGAGCAAGATGCTGCCAGAGCACTCCCAAGCCGGGTCCGCTCAGTTTGCCTAGAGCACACAGAAGAGTGGAAGTCACCTCCAAAAGGATTCTCTTCTCTTTGGAGCCCGATTTTTTTTTTCTTTCTGATTTTCTTGTGATTGCTTGTTTCTTCCTCACTCTTACTGCAGAAAGCCCAGACTTCTGTATTTCACTTTCCCTTTCATTAGAAGAGCTTTATAGATCCTCATACCAGCTACTTAAATGTATACTCATCAAAAAAACGGATTCAATTACTGCTCCATGTGTTTGACCTTTATTTTCTTCAATTGCACATCCTTAATCTTTTCTTTTACTGGCCAAAAGTAACATCTTGTCTTTTTCCGATAGCTAAATAAATCTTTACTGACTACTCCTCCTAGCCACATATATCTATCCATCTTGAAGATCCCCTCTGCACAGTGAACACGGAAACTACTCCTACTGTATTGCACATCAGTGCTGGAAAGAAAAAGAATCCCCAGACACATTTGCTAATATCAAAGCAGAATACCTCAGGCCTTTGCCACCTAGTACAGAACTCTTAGTTGGCATTTCATTTATTTTAAAACCAACTCCTAAGCTTACTCAGTGGTCCGCTGATGAATCTCATATCTGTCAGGAGTTAGGTGGAATAAATTGCAGAACGCTGTTCCCAGAGCCTTCTGTTGATATTTACCAAATGCAAGAGCTTACCAGGGAAGCTCGTCCTAGCAATCACCTGGTCTGGGCCACCGATTCCACGCTGAGCTACCTGCAGGTCAACACTGTGGCTTGTATCAGACGCTGCCAAGGACACTAGCAATGCGCCTGCCTGCACGCAAGTGGAGGCAGGAGCAAGGCCTCAAATCAAGCTCAACGATATTTTTGGGTTGCTGCATCCTACCAGCTTGCACGGCACGTAACCTAGGCAACCTGAAGTAATTAACATCCCTGTCTGTGTTTGTTATTACAGATACAAACTATCTACATCAAGAGCAAAAACTCTCAAATAGCCATTTTGATGCTAAAAATAATTGAGCAGCAAGCTTACTATTCAAACTCTGGGAAACACTTTGCAAATACCACATTGACGGCTAGTTAATTCAGACCTGTGCCCTGCCTCCACCCTCAGGATCTCAGAGAAGTGCTGCACTGGAACTAAACAAAGGAGAGCCTACAACTCCTACGAAAAGTTCAGCTTGGGCTGAGGATACCTGCCTTTGAAAAATCGCAATAGCAGACCCTTGGGGAACACCAGACCCGGATGTACCACCCTAAGAGCCTCTGGCTCGGTGGACTTTATAGCAGTGTGTTGCTCAGTTCCAAGCATTCCTTTCTGAGCATCTCTGCACAATGTGCCCATGTGGCAACAGGAGAGGGAGACTGTACATGCAGATGTCCAGTGCTGTGGCGCCATGAAAGCACTGGGAAGTCTCCCCATCCTTTCTGATGCCAGGATGTATAGAAAACAAATGCCTAAGAAAAAGCCAAAACCACAACGCTACTGACCTATGGAATACGTAAGTATTTGTAAACAGCCAATGAGCAGAGGAATAATGGGAGGATTGGAGAGGGAGCACTGACAACTGATGTGAGGGAGCACCACAGAAAGCAGAGTAAGTGGTTAGCAGAATTACACCATGAACACACATAAACGACCCCTTCCCCCATGCCTTGGCAATGGAAACTCTACGGCAAACTCCATTTGGGACAGTTAGAGAATGCACTCAGCGGGACAGATGAGGGAAAACTGGTCTAGCTTAAAGGTCTGTTGGCTTTTAAAAGTTCAAGGATGTTTTTGCAAACCAGTCCTTATAAAGACACAGTGTTCCTTTCATCCGTATATACTAATCAAAAGGCCACTTAAGGAAGGAGATTTTCTTCCCTTACCCCACCTTCCAAACATCTTTCAGGAGGAACAGGGAAACTGAAACTGAAGCCACCAAATGAAAACAGAAAGTTTCAAGTGTGACGTTGCTGCTCCCACCACGGCTGCCCAATCTCCCTCCCAGTTGCTACACTTTCCCTAGCACAGCTGGGACTAGCAAAAGGGATACTGTACCTTTACTAACTTGCCACAGGCTCAGAGAAGCTGGTTACCAGGTTGCTACTGAGAAGGCTGGTTTGGGGACACAGCAAGAAAAAGGGCTGGGGATGGGGCTGGGGGCCTTGTGGTCACTAGCTGACTAGTGCTGCTATGACAACCCAGCTGTGGTCAGGGAGAACAGGGAGCGTGTGAGGTTACGTTACCTTCGTGGGCACAGCAAGGGCAGAAGGAGAGAGGTCTACGACGTGGTGTCCCGGCATTGGGCTCAACTTCAATAGGACCAAACGAGGAAGAGGAAGAGGCAGGAGAGGAAGAGGAAGTTGGAAGTGGAACGGAAGAGGAGGAAAGGGGTGAAATAAAAGACAAGCAAAGGACAAAAAGCGTAAGAGTGAGAAAGAAAGGAAACACAAGAAGAAAAAGAAAAAATACAAGAAATGGAGAAGCAGAAACAAGGGATACAGTCTACAGATGAATAATGTCCCTAATAAGCACAGGTAACAGGTAAGAGGTAGACTGAGCTACTGGTGAACTCTTACTGAGCTGTACAAATACCAGGCAGGAGGTTATTGTTACTGTACTTTTTCCTAACGTACATTTTCCAATCACATGGTCTTTAACCGAAAGGTTTGTGAACAAGATGTCAGGACGAGCAGAGATGAGTATTTAACTCCTGCTGATAAATGCCAAATTTCAAGGAGGGTTACAAAAAGTCTCGCCTGCATGCATAAGACACCAGCTGTAAGCAGCCACCCTACCTTAAAGCTTTATCAGGACCATGCTCTTATCATCATGGCAGCATCCACTGATGGTAAAAGTGTCCTTTTTAATGGAAAATAATTTCTTCAGACAGGGAACATCACAGGGATGATCTGATTCATGTGGAAGCAGCCTGCCAGGATCTGCTGTGTCAAGTACGGTGCGTACACATCTACTCAACTGGACTGTTGTGCTTAGAGGGGAAAAGTCTTTTACATGGATAAAAAAAGCGATTCACATCAGGGTCTGCGGGGGCAATGACCAACTGAGGGCCTCGCAGAGTTAAAACGGTGAATCTAAAGCTCTCCCCTGACATTTTCATTTCACAAAGCATTTTAAAGCTTACAAGTCTTGCCAGTATCAGTGACTTACTGAATCTTTTTCATCTTTTCTGTCTCCCAGTGAAGGACAGACATTTCTCATCTCTAAAACGGTTCAGCTGTTTTAACACTGAGAATTTGCTTTTTAGCTGTACTTGACGTTACAGAGATAAACAGTAGGAAAAAACCAGCATCACTAATAGTTACAGGAGAACATATGCACCGGGAAGGTGATGAGCCTGAAACGTCAAGAGCTAGCAGAATGGAACACTTACTGCTCTCAGTGCACAACTGCACCTATAAAGAGGAGGCATTTCTGCATTGGGAAGAGGCATAAACTCCACAACAATAATATGGTAAGAATAACACTCATTTTGGGTAAGTCAGCAGAGCTCTGATATACGTAGTTTGGAGACAGCTTTACAGAACTAGACTGCCAGCGAACTGGAAAGGCTTTAGAAGGGACCATCACAGAACTAGACCAGCACACGGGAGGACACACTGGAGCGAGAGGGAGAGCACATCAGCTTCAAAGCCTGTGACTGAGCCGCGCGGCTTTCTCAGACAGGAAGAAACCTCTGCAGTGGGAGCAGGAAGGGACAACATTAGGAGAGGGGCCGCAGTTGGCCGTACGACAGTTACAAATAAAGCATCGTACCAACATTAGTAGTAGACAGTAGTAGAACCTGAATTCTAGTTGTTCAGAATTTTCCAACTTCTTCATTTAAAATGAAAAAATACTAGGGCTTTTTTTCTACAATTCCCATTTCACAGATTGGGTTACAAAAGCAAAAACAAACAACAAAAACCCCGAACTGCAAAGGCACTCTGAAAAATATGCTTCCACACGAAGCAGAGCTTTTAGTGCATGATACCTATTATATTTTTTTATTTCACATCCTATCTTATTCAGCATGAATTATTCTATATATGCTTTAATACTCTAACTTGGTGCTGGGGGATCAGGAGACGGACATTTAACTATATAGAAAAATCCACTTTGATTTTTCAGGTTTGAGATTTCATTCAGAATTTTGTCTCTGTGTGTGGGGGGGGCGATGTTGAGAACTCAAACGCAGCTATATTTATACAGTTCAAACCATGGACTTGGTGAGGAATACCCAATTTGCCATATTTGATCTGAAAATAAATACCTGGTATGTGAAAATGCCAGTCATCTCATTGTGACATGACCACAAACTATTAACTTTTGTCATCAGTGAGCAAATGGTCTGATCCTAGGAGAAGAGTCCATCTTTGGTCTCCACTAAAAAGCCACAGGACTTACATAGCAGGAGGCTGCAATACAGAACCCATTCCCTGCAATTGTCTTTTCTTCCTTTGCTCTTAGTTGTGCTATTTTCTAAAAGAAATATCATCCTCCCACTCTAGTCTAAGGAAAACGTGTCCTTGAATCAAGTTACAAAGTCCATGGTATCTGCAATAGTCTTGTTACTGGAAATGTTGACATTCTCATTCAGTAAGATAATGAACATAACCTGTACTATTAAGATCCCTTCCAATTACTCCAGATGTAAATTATAGTTGCATCAGTGAATACAGGTGATATGATTCTTACAATTGCTTTGGAAACAACTTCTGTCCAGCCCAGGATGAGTAGCAAGGCTTTAAAAAGTGTTCCTTATGTACTGGAGGTCCTAAACAGCAAAGACAGAGTAAAGCGCAACCTGAAAACTTACCTCTTATAGTTCTCTAAAGCTGTGAAAACCACACCAATTATTATGCTCTAAAATACCTATCGTGCAGTAGGATTTTAA